GTTTTACAGTTTTTGAAAAAAACAGAGTGATGAACTTCATAATTTTTAATAGGTTTAAATGTACCAAAGTTTCTTCAGTATTGGGGCTACAGTTTGATGAAAGTTGTGAAGTTGTAGCACGTATGGTTGATTTGTTATGAATTTTCAAAGTTTTGAACTTTAGACGCTTGCTGTAGCGCCACCATCAGGACTACTGGCTTGAGTTTACAGCTGAGGATAACTGGCATGAGACTGGACCTTTGTGCAAAGTTTGGTGAGTTTTCACCCATGGGAAGTATGATTTCCTCGGAAGAAGAAGAAGAAAGAAGAAGAAGAAGAATACCTAGGATTACAATAGTGTCCTGGCAGCTTAGCTGCCCGGACCCTAATTACAGTGTGCTATATAAAATTAAACATCACATGGACAAAGATAAGCAGGAAACTAACATCAGTCATAGGATGATAATCAGTATAAGTAGAGAATGGTACTGTAGTGTCTGTTAGTGATGAAGAGGGCAGTTTCTACATGAAGAAGAACAAGGACGTACTTACATGTGAAAAACCACATCCTGAGTAGGTTCCTGTTTGACACCTAGTATCTGTCTTATATCCGGTACTGTGCATTTACATTTCATGTTATAGTAGTTTGTATTTTTGAGTTATACTAGTGCCCACTGTTTAACATCACTGAGTGCCTTTAGCTCACAAACACCTGCAGCTAATTCACTGTTAATGACTGATTAAGCTCAGCTGCCATGTTTGATTAAAGCCACCAGTCATTGCTTGAGAATAATTTAAGAATATTCTCAGAGCATTCTGAGCAAGAAAGGGACAGAAACTTGTACCTTAGTGAGGAGATGATGCTGACCCTGTTTCTAGGTGTGACACATACTTACAACAGATGTGAATGGTTGCCATAGACATGCACTTTTATGAGCCTGCAAGGTGTGGACACCCAGTGGAAATTAAATGAACTACATCAGAATATGAGACTAAGTTTTGTCATTGTTTGTGTGATCAGTCTGCTGATGGAAGGTTGAGACAGACCCAAATCATCACTGCTGCACTGTCATATTTTCCAGTCGCCAAATACCTTGGTGTTGTGATGTCTTTATTTATTTACTGATGTACATTGTGTAACAACAAACAAAATGACAAGTCAGTGGGAAACAAAATCATCAACCCACTGAGGGCAAGATTCAAAATCACACCGAAAATTGAAGTAAATAATTTAAATCACAGGCTGATCCAACGTGCATGATTTTATCACCTCAACTCATAATGTGACTCAATAGTGTGTATGGCGGACCTGTCAACTCTGGTGTTCTTTGGCAAATGCCAATTGGGCTGCACAGTGCTGGGCTGTGAGCACAGGTCTCACAAAAGGACGTGGGGCCCTCTCCACCCTCATGGAGTCTGTTTCTGACAGTGTGGTCAGAAACATGCACACCAGTAGCCTGCTGGACGTCATTCTGTAGGGCTCTGGCAGTGCTCCTCCTGTTCCTCCTCACACAAAGGAGCAGATACCGGTCCTGCTGCTGGGATGATGCCCTTCTACGGCCCTGTCCAGCTCTCCTCATGTAACAGCCGGTCTCCTGGTATCTCCTCCATGCTCTTGAGACTGTGCTGGGAGACACAGCAAACCTTCTTGTGCCATCCTGGAGGAGCTGGACAACCTGTGCAACCTGATTGTGCTGCAGGTACGGCCTCATGCTACCAGTAGTGACAAGGACACTAGCAGAAGACCAAACTGGAGAAGAATCAGTCAGAAAGGATAAGGAGAGAGCAAAGTCTGTGGACACCACATGTAAAACCATTCCCTTTTTGGAGGTTGTCTTGCTTTTGCCTCTCCATTGCACCTGTTGTCACTTTGATTTGCAACAAAGCAGATGAAACTGATTCACAATCACTTGTGCTTCCTAAATGGACACATTGATATCCCTGAAGTTTAACTCTGGTGTTACACTGTGACCATTAAGTGTTCCCTTAAGGATGTAAATATAGGATGTTAACAGTGTGGTGTGTTTAGTGTAACAAAACATCACTTTTAATCCTTGTTTCAACTGAACAGAAACAAATATATCCAGAGCAGAATAATGTCATTATTTATCTTCTACGGAAGAATCAAATAGTGACATTTCATCATCAATGGAAATTACATCCCCAAAAGTGCAGGATCAGCAACAAACAACAAACAATGCAAGCAAACAATAACCAGCACAGTAAAGTGCACTCTACAAACATTAGCTTGAGATTTTGTGAGATGCTCTTATTCACATTTATGCTGATAGTACCTCACCTCTTATCTAAGAGGCTTCATCAGTTCATGCTTATCTGACTAGGCTGGAACTAGTCTGACAAACTGGTGTGGAAACCCAGGTATTTAACCTCTGAGGAGGTCTTCACAAGGCCAATGATGTCACTGGTTCGTTAGTGCTCCAAAGGTGTGTCAGCGACGGTCGTTGAAACTCCTGCTGAAACAGTGGTCGTTGGAGTCATTAGAGTCACATGAGGCCATTTGTGAACGACCATTGTTTTTAGAGGTTAAGCTGTTAAATCTCCCGGGCAAGGATGAAAGGACAGCATTATAGGTGGGGGATAGGTGGTGTCGCAGACCTCCTCCTCTACTGAGAGATGGTTTTTCCAATTTCACATAGATGGATTCTTTTACAATTCTTTCAAACCATCGGTCTTCCCTGTCCAAAATGTGCAAATTGCTGTCTTCAAAGGAGTGTACTTTCTCTTTGAGGTGTAGATAGACAGCTGAGTCTCGCCCTGACGAGTTCACCCTTCTGTGTTAGGCCATGCATTTGCTTAGTGGTTGTTTTGTTTCACCAATGTACAAGCCTGGGCATTCCTCACTGTACACCAGGTTGCTCTTCTTGGTGGACGCTGTCCAATGCAGGTGTACGTGCCACAGACCCTGGAATGATGTGTTCACTCAATGACTGCCTGCCTGACTGACTGATGTTAAAAGCTGGATCTCAAAAAAATTTCTTCAGCTGAACTCAGACAAAAAAAGACTGCTGTCACTGGGCTGCAGCACATTACAACAAATTCTGCCTGTGGCTGGTCCCCTGTCGGATGATATCAAAGCTGAAATCTGGTTTAACAGTAATTTAAGTTTTGAGCAGCACGTCAGATGTTTTCATCATCTCAGAAACAGTTCAAAAATACGATCCATTTTAACTTTTAAGACACTTAGACAATTTTAAAAGCTTTCATCAGTTCACACCTGGATCATTACAACAGCGCATTTTCTAACCTGAATCAAAAATCTATTAATGGACTCCAGACTGTACAAGAATTCAACTGACATGATGATGACATCACTCCAGTTTCAGCCTCTTTACACCGGCACCCAGTATGTGTTAGATTTTAAGATTTAACTGATCACTTTTAAGGCTCTCATGGTCTCTCTCCCAGTTATATCTCTGACCTCTTAGTGACATGCACCCCAGGACATATGAGGTCCTCGGGCAGAGGTCTTCTGTCTGTTCCAGAGGTCCGGCTGAAAACTAAATTGGACACAGCGTTTGCTATCAGGGCCCCGAGGCTCTGGAACAGTCTGCCGGAGGTAATCAGGTAGGCCGAGTCAGTGATCTCTTTTAAATCCCTTCTTATAACATACATTTATTAGAGAGCCTGTCCTGATGTTACCTGAGTTTTAAGTTCATTTAAACTGTCTCTTATTTCCTCAGTTTGTATACATTAAAGTGTTTTTATCAGTTCTTTTAAAAGTTGTCGTCATGTCTCGTCTGTTTGAATCACTGACATGTAAAATACTTTGTAACTCTTTTGAAAAGTGCTTTATAAATAAAGATTATATTTATTATTTTCTTAATCACTTTATTGTAATTAGCTATTTATTGTTTTCATATTGTTTTTTTTATTAAAAGCTTTATTGATAGTAAAGTATGCCTTGTTCTTCATTTTCATTCAGGGACATTAAAATGACTGGAGGCCTTGAGGCCATAATCAGCAAAGTGGTGGTGGTAATTTTGGTTTGGGGGGCTCCAGTGTAAGAGGGCCCAAAATGTTCAGTAGCAGCCTTTGTCTAACCACTTCTGTAAATTTAAGAAACCACTGAATTGACACTCATGCCCACTTCATGCTGCGATTGGCTGGCTGTGCATCGGTAAGGTTACCAGGGTTTGAACGTCTCTATCTGCTCTGTTTTTCATTTGTTGCACAACTGCTTCTGTCAATTTTCATGTGAGCACTAAGAATGTCTGAAAATGTGAGACGTTATCCCCATATTTAAATGATATATCATCTGTGATAGTAACCAACCACATGCCCCTGATTTTACATGCATAGTCCAAAAACTCTGCAGTGAATACGACCTGAGTAAAGACTTTGTTTGACTTTTCTTCGTGGGCTGTTGTGTCCCTGATTATTCAATGGCCGTGTAACTTTGTCCCTGGAGTTGAACCTGCAGGAAAAAACACAAAATGTGTTAAATAAAATCAAAACTTGGAGTTTATGGAGCACTTCCCCATAGTCAGTGTATTACATACAGTAGCTGTCAGTCAGAAAACCCCAAATTTGTAGAAGCAGGCTGGAGTCTGACAAGGAGGCTGAGCAATGTACTGCTGTGGAAGGTGTTCTTTAGACAGGGAACTGAAGCCATTACATTTCTTTTTTGAAAGCCAGACTCAACCGAGAAGAACAGTGATCTGACATCACTAAACACAGGAGCTACTGGTCTATTGCTGCCTCTGTCAGTTATATATGTGTACATATATATATATTTATGTGGCATTAGTGTTTAAAGTGTTTAATTCGAGCTCAAGGTCCGGCACTGTATTCACTTATAATTTTCAATCAATCAATTTTATTTTTAAAGTCCAATATCACAAATCACAATTTGCCTCAGAGGCTTTACAGCATACGACATCCCTCTGTCCTTAGGACCCTTGCAGCAGATAAGGAAAAACTTAAGTAAAGCAAGACTTGCAGAGATCTACCCAAGTGTTGACAACAGATGTGACCACTGCTCATATGTTCTGTCTGTCCCAAACTAAAGAGCTCCTGGGCCGACATTTTAGAAACCTTGTCTGAAACTTTAAAAAAGGATTTGCAACCCTGCACTCTCATAGCACTGTTTGGGGTTCCAGGGCACCTTACCACTCTAACCGCTGGACAAGCTGATGTGGTGGCGTAAAAGTCTATTAGCTCGTTGTCAGAATTTTGCTTGAAAGCCTTGCAGGCTCACAAAGGGGTGTGTCTGTGACAACCAATCACATCTGTTAAAAGAATGTGTCATACCTAAGGACAGGGTCAACCACACCTCCTCACTGGGGTTAAAGTTTCTGTCTCTTCCTCGCTCAAATCTCTCTTAAGCTAGGACTCCTTACTAAAAGTTTTTAGGCTAAGTTAGGAGCTCTCTGAGAGTTTTCATAAGCCCCTTTTACACTGCCAGATTTTACGCAAATGTTGGGCCGTTTTGCCGCCAAGCTGCGAGTGTTTAGACACACAGAGCCGGATTTGCGAGTCGATCCGAGGTGCCCAATTTTCCGCCTCATAGGGTAGACATATTGGAGGAACCTTTTTGGTTTAAAAAGAATGAGGCGGTCTTCCGCCACAGGAGGGGCTGTTGATGACTTGTGGGAGGAGCTGTTGATGACTTGTGGGAGGAGCTGTTGATGACTTGTGGGAGGAGCTGTTGATGACTTGTGGGAGGAGCTGTTGATGACGCTGCATGTGCGACCCACTGGCGGTGGATAAACAGGAGGGCCCTCCTTGCCCTCGCAAACGAAGAGGCCATTAACCGTCAGATGACGGGGACGGTGAAGGACAGGCCGACTTATGAGAGAATCGCCGAAGCACTGGCCAGCCACAGCTCTTTACTCACGCCCCCCATTGCCCCAAAAAAGGTGCATTCTGTATAAACAAAAGTAGGCAGGCGATTTTGCTTTTATACTGCCAATGCTGAAAGAAGAGTGATTGGGTTTTCCTGCAAATTTGCACAACTCCTGTTTAAAAAGGGCTTTAGAGTGTTTGTGAATGCAGCCCCTGGTATTTTTTCCTCAAACTTGAGAATGTAAAATTCACTCTTCGAGGCTCTGCAGACCGTTTCCATAAGAAACTGCAATGTTAGTTTATTTTAATAGCGTTCAAACCCTCCCTCCTGAACAGGAGATATATATGTCATTGTACATTATTGTTATTCACTGTTACTCAAAAGACCTTCTCCTCTTGTTTTCCTTTCCTTTCTTTTATTTACTTATTGTTTACCTCCTGTGTCATACTTCAGCCTGCTTCCCCAAACTGGGAGCGTAATAAACTGACCATAGCCAAGAACCCCATGCAAACGCACTTCAAAAAAACTGAACCATCCCTTAAAATATGATTTTTTTAATTAAAACCAGAGGTCTCATATATAAATGTAGTCTCTGTGGATTTTGTATGAATCTAAATATCAACAGAATGGTTCATATGTGAGAAGACAAACACAACTGTCAAGACAGAAATGTTGGTACTTAAACGTACCTGTATCAGGTCTTGTGATGTTCTTTCGAGCAAAAGCCACTATAATAACTACAATTACAGCAGCTCCAATAAGCCCTGCAGTGACCCATCCTCCTCTGCTGTTGTCTGAAACACATCACAAAGAGCTGATGTAACATTGTGTGTAACTGTGTATCATGTACAGCAGATTGATCATTGACTACACATAGAGAACAGTTCAATGTGCTGCTAAAATCTATCAAAACTAAAAGTACAACACATGAGCACCTCAAGGAGGAAACTTACCAGTGATATACACATATATCTCAGCATGAATCTGATGGTTGATTTCCTCCTGTGTGACCACACAGTGATAGCGGTCGGTCTTGGTCACAGTAGTTTGGAGGATGATGTCATAGCTGCCTCCTCTGTCTGTGACCTGTGTCTCCTCAGCAGGAAGGATGTTTCCATCACTGTCCTTCCACTCTACTTTAGGTTTTGAAGGAGCACCATGAACCTCACACTGCAGCTGCACTCCATCATCTGTGTCACTTGGTATTGTGATGTTTGGCTCTGGAGATGAAACTGTGAACACAGAATAAACAATAACATGTGAAAATAATGACACGTTCAGACATGTAGTACTTTTATCAGCCCCTCTCTGCTTGTATATGAACATATTTCAGTGTGAAAAAAAAACAGAGAAACTAGAAAACAACATGAACCTTAATTAAACATCTGAGCCTTGTTTGATGACCTCACACTGCAGCAGTGACCTGTCCTCTGTGTTGCAGCTTATGACCTGCAGGTGCCAGACAACACGATGGGGACGAGGATCCAGTCATTAAATAAAGTTGGCATCAGCTATTTTATGAAAGTACTCACCAACAACAAGATCAATGTGGAATATTTGAGGTGTCTGAAGAAGTGGAAAAAAGCAGGTGTAGTCTCCACTGTCAGCCATCTTTATATTTCTGATGATGATGGAGGCGTTGCCATGTTTCAGCTCATCTTGGAAATGAAAGACTCGACCTTTGAACTGCTCATCTTGACCTGAACCACCGTTGTTGTGATGGAGGCCTTTATCATACATGAACACCCCCGTCATACCATCATGTTTCCTCCAGTCAAAGAGTTTCTGCTCGATGTTCTCCTTGGTGCTGAGGGAACAGGGTAATGTAACATCACTCCCTTCTGACACCAACACTTTGATGGCCGTTGGTCCTGGAACATAAAAACATCATTTAAATATATTTGTCACATGTGTCACCAGAATTATTTTCCAGACCTGAGAGGTTTGTTTCAGCCTCTATTTTAAATAATGTGGAGCCCTCTGCTGTCCAAAAACCCACATTTCTCTTTTATTGTGTAAAACCTCTGCACAAAGGCTCAGGTTGGTGGTGCTGTAAACACCAGTTTACAGGCAGTTTAGTTAGTGGTCTTATTCCTCCTCTACCAGAGCTAATTGTGGCAGAGACCACACAGTTTGTCTCCCTGTGCTTTGTTTTTGAGTTGTACTAATTCTGCTAATTACCTGTGGCAATGCAGCTTTCCTGTACTGGGAGCAGTGAACTACATGTAATCAAACAAGTAGTTTAACAACATTTTGCAGCAGCTTGCTGGTAGTTTAACTACATTCATATTTGCATCGTGATTCATGTAGTTACAACTCCAGTTCCATAAAAGATGGGACGTTGTGTAAAACATGTTAGTAATATTCAGTTTATTACAGTACAAAGATATTTAATGTTCAAACTGACCTCATCCTGAATTAAATACGTATGACACTTAATAAAACAGTTTAGGACAGAAGCAACAAAAGACTGTACAAGTTGTTGGATGCTCAAAAACACCTGTTTGGAATATTTTGCAGGGAAACAGCTAAATTAGTGACAGATGATAGTATCATGATTGGGAGTGAACGCAGCATCCTCAGAAGTCTCACAAAAAATACTTTTCTTAAACCCAGGGTTTTCTTCAGGTGAATATATGCTGAACCCCACCTCTGTCAAACAAATAAAATAAATAAATCTACAAAGTTGATATTTACCATTTCCATCACAAAGCGTTTTTACAGTCAAACACAAAAGCTTCATGGATGTTCATTTGACGTATGGATTCATTATTGTAGCAAAAGTCAGAAGTGTTTTTATCGACGCAGCACCAAGTTTCATTCATTCATTCATTCATCTTCTAACCGCTTCATCCTCTTGAGGGTCGTGGGGGGCTGGAGCCTATCCCAGCTGACATCGGGCAATCGCAGTGCTGACACATAGAGACAGACAACCACTCACGCTCACATTCACACCTACGGACAATATAGAGTTATCAATTAACCTAGTCCCCAGTCTGCATGTCTTTGGACTGTGGGAGGAAGCCGGAGTGCCCGGAGAGAACCCACGCTGACACGGGGAGAACATGCAAACTCCGCACAGAAGGGCTCCCACACCAGGGATCGAACCGCTAACCCTCTTGCTGTGAGGCGACTGTGCTAACCACTACACCACCGTGCCGCCCCTGCACCAAGTTTCAATTAATATTAGTTTTCATCCCAGTCAGAGGCCTGGACGATGAAGCAGGATTGGGATATAGCAGGTTAACTTCAGGGTTAACTCTGGGTTTTCAGTGCTGCGAAGGTGATTCTCTTTTTACCAGGATAAATCACTGTGGCTATTCAAGATCCTTATCTTGAGATTTAGATAAATACTATGTGACCTCATAGATGAGACACAGCTGTCTGTCTGTCTGTCAGGACAGTACTATCCTCCTAAACTTGTAGTAACTTAGTGATTCTTACAATTTTCATCACACAGTGTTTTTCTAGTCAAACACAGAAGACAAAAACACAGCAGGTCCAGCTGAAGCTTCATCGTTGATTCTGTGTCTGGAGTTTCACTTTCAGATGGAGTCACTAAGTTTCGTTTTCATCTACACGGCTGCACGAAGAAGTTTGCACAGAGAACTTTCTGTCAAACAAGGTTAATTATGAATCTTTCTATTGTGACTTTTTGAGCCATGGTGGTTTTATATTTGTGAAACTTTCCTCAAGCTGACAAAAATGATTTTAAAAATCTGTGGCACCATCACGATGTGAAGTCAGTGAGCCGAGCTGGAACTCACAGGTGGGGCCAGCGGGAGAAACACTGCTGCACATGTTCAGTGGGCCGCATACTGTGGAAGTAAACCTGGCAGCTAGAAACATTTTTGGCGCATGCATCAGGCGGGCAACCATTTTTAGTCCGGTCTAGTTATTATTAAAATATGTATGTGGCCGATGTGGAAACGCAAACAGCCCTATCTAGGATTTGTTCGCTGTGGGCTACTGTACAACAACATAGCGGACTCTGTCAAAGAGGACCCGCTCCATCGCTGAGTTCTGAATCACATACTTTATGGTTTTGCTTTTAGCAGGTACTGCAGCCGCCCTTAAAAAGCACGCACCATTGCATGCTCACAGTCGGGACACACTACTGCGTCCTGACAATGAGCCCTAAACTTTAACTGTCTGTCTTATGTATCTGTTACCTTGGAGATGAAACAAAATGCCATTCACTGAGCTCACCAGAGACAGAAGTCAACCCGGAGAGCTCTGCTGTTGTTACGTTGCAAAGTATGTAGCTTAACTTTTTTTAGTGTGTGCAAGGTGCATAACAAGTAATGGTAACAGGTAACAGGACATGAGGGTAGATGGAGATGGGAATACAGACAGGACAAACAACAAACAGGCAAAAGATAATCAGGATTAATACTATTCTTGCTGTTACTGATACGCAAACCAGTTGTTAGAGTATTAATAATGATTTGACTAATATATAATACTGCACATACATAATTAATATAACAATAATACTGTTAAGTAAACTGAATAAATAAATAAATAAATAGAGAGAGAAATAAAAAGAGGCAGTGGAGTTGGCACCTCTAGTCACCCTTCAATGTCCGGAGGAGTACTAGAGCTTAGGCAGAGGTCAGTAGGGCTGGGCTTGGTAGTTCTCTTGTTTACACTAATTTGTTGTGCTGCTCCAGGCCGTACACAGACCCCAGGGGGGGCACTGGCCTGATGCAGATACCTGTGGCCCCCTGCAGAGCCCACCAGATAGTAGTTTGACTTTTAAGTTTTAACTGCATACATTGTAGAGTCTGTCTCCTTTTCATGACAGTAAAACTACATATGCATATTTCTCTGTCCTTGTTGTTTTCATAGTTATGTCACTTTGTTGTTGGTTATCTTTATATTATTTTGTCCACTAAAATAATTAATATTCCTATTATTACTATTCAACTGCGCATCAGTCACTTTAATGTGCTGCCGTCTGTGTGCAGCTCAGTCGATGTGACTTATCGTCAGCTGTGCAGAGAATTGTGGGTCAGAATAGCCAGAAAAGTACACTGTCTTACATACTTCAAAATATGACCAGATGCAGTTGAACATCCTGGTGCTCTTGTCATACTGCATCTGACATAATATGTATTGGGACATATCTCCTTGTGGCATATTAAATAGTATGGCAGTATGGGTACTGGAATGCACCCCGTTAAAGGGGTTTTTTTGGGGAGTTTTTCCTTATCCGCTGCGAGGGTCATAAGGACAGAGGGATGTCGTATGCTGTAAAGCCCTGTGAGGCAAATTGTGATTTGTGATATTGGGCTTTATAAATAAAATTGATTGACTGATTGAGTATGTAGATATAAGCAGCTCAAAACACAATGACTCTGAGATTCAGGTTTTTATACTCTAATTAAACCACAGGTATAAATATTATGTATCATTTCTGCCAATAGATGCCCCTAAATCATCTTAAAATCCAACAAAAACATTAAAATCACTTTTGTTTCTTTGATCAAAGTTTGAACACAGAAACATCCAAAACAGTCAAAACACACAGTTTGACATTTTTCATGTTTTATTCAAACGTTTGGACAGAAATGAAGCATTAAATGTGATATGAAGATCTGTGCTGCCTGGAAATGAAATCAATCTTAAAAACAACATGCATAAAATAATCAGAATATAAAAACAATAGAAGAAAATCCACACAGAACAAAGCACAAGAAGCCATCATTTAAAAAACAGTTTTTCCTCTTAAAGCCACACACACAGTGGAACTCAGTCACTATATACACATTATATATCAGACTTTAACACAAACTGTTAATTTAATTGGCACTGAACAGAAGGATTCATTAATAATCAGTTCTGTCAGCATTGAAGGAAACTTCCTCTCTTCTGTTGTCACCTTATTAACTCCAGTCTGTCTCTGTGTAACTGACCTCTGTCTCGTTCTTATCACTGAACTAACATGTGGTCCAACTTTTATTTTGTAAGGCCAAAATTAAAACAGATTAAAGTGAACAGTTCATATTAAATACACCAATAAAAAGACACTAAATTAATAACTCCTGTGCCGCAATACAGTGCTACAAGACCTGAAGCACGCGCACACGTGTGTGTGTGTGTGTGTGTGTGTGTGTGTGTGTGTGTGAGTGTGAGTATGTGTGTGTCTTCCTGTGGACAGTCATTAGTCAATGCGAGAGCGTTACAACCATGCAAAACGCACACACAAAACTTAATAGATGTGTAGTTGAGATCAAATGAAGGCAGTTCAAAGATGGCTGTGGTCTGAGTACAGGGGCCAAGAGTAGGAAGGTAGGAAGAAGGGAAGGAGCCACTAGCCCCCACTTGACACCCCTGGCTTTCTTTCTTTTTAAGTTGCGACTGAGTGAGCTCATCACAAGATCTCCAGTTCTCTTAGATATTAAAATTAGCTCAGAGAGCAGGCGTGCTGTTATGTTGCTGTCTGTGATCTTTATGGGGAGAACTCAATGTGAGGACAGCGTATAAACAACACTAGGTTAAGTTCAGGGACAGATTGTTGTCATGATGTCTCCATATGAAGGCAGAATGAGCTGAATACACATTCACCCCGACAATATCACTTCCACCCTTCTACCATCACAACTATCTGTCTAACCACAACCCTGATCCTGACCTTAACCTGAGACTAATTTTAACTGTAATGTGAAAAACAAGATCAGCCAAATTGTCCTCACAAACATACAGTCTGATCTAAAACTCAAACTGCTTCTCACAGAGTTTACATTAACACAGTTCACATCCTTCAGCAGCAAACTTTACAACACATGCAGAGACAGTTAGGTTTCTGGATCAGGTGCCTCCTGTGACCGACTGGGTTGACCATTAAGAGGGACTGCTGAACCTTCCTTGTGATCTGCTGGTGAACCTGCAGGAAGGAAAACAAAGTTATATTCATGAAAATCCAAACTGACTTGATCCTACCCTGAGTGTAAATACCAACAGAATGATTCATGTCTGAGAAGATAAAACAACTGTCAAGACTCTAAACATGAGATACATATAAAGAATCTGTTGTGTTATCTGCTCATCATCAACATGTGGATACTGTAAATTATTTTAACTTACCTTTCTTACAGTTAAGTGTGATGCAACCCTTGTAGACAAGCACAGTCAGAATAACACCACCAACCAAAAGAGTGCAGAAAACTGAAACAACAACAACCCATCCAGTGGACCCTGAAACAGACAAAAACATTCATATTAATTACCATTAACCCTGAGAGTGTAACTGTACATCATCTCCATCAGACTGGACATCACAGTCTCCACAAAGAGAACAGCTGAAGGTGTGGATGCTCCTGAAATGTAAACTCTAAAGCTGTTAGCAGATAAAAACAGCAGTGGGATGAATGTCAGCAGGAACAGTGATGTCAGCATTGATCTTATGGACAGTTTCCTCCTGCTTGGCTGCACAGCTCACAGGTTGCTTCTGGTTTTGCTCTCAGTAGTGAGGAGGGTGATGTTGGAGCATCGTCCTCTTTCTGACACGTGTTGCTCATCAGGAGGAAGAATGTTTGAATCACTGTCCTGCCTCCTCCACTTCAGCCTGTTTACATCTGACTGCTGCTACACGGCTTCTCTACACCCTGAGCTCAGGCTCACAGGTACAAGTCAGTCATGGACTCTGGATTAACTCTTTGTTTTATCATACTTGTTGTTAGAGCTAATAAAGCTTTGTTCAAAGAAAATATGACACATCCAGCTGAACATGCAGCTGAGCTACGTTTATGTTTCACTGAGCAGGAAAAGTACAATTTACCTGAGTGTTTCCATTTTATCACACTTTATATAGTAACTAGTTACTTTGATCTCACACACAAAACATGTGATCGACTTCATAAAATAAAGTAATAAAAATAAAACACTTCTTTAACATTGTGGTCTGGTCTTGGATATATTTTGACTCACTGCTGGCTTCTCTGATGAACGTATCACACTAATGAACACACTCCCTAAATGAACACTATGAGCCTGCAGCAAAGACAGAGTTTGATACAGAATTCAGACAAAGTGATTTATTCTTTTATGAGAACATGAAGGAAGGAGGATCAAACTCAATCTGTGTAAAATCTGTTTATGATTATTTCATTAATGTGACATGAAAAATCTAACTTTCGTGATATTTTGGACATATAATAGGAAAACTTTTCCTGCTTTGTTTGAGAAGCTGTTAATCAAAGTAAACCAAAAAATAAGTCTTATTTCTGATTTTTGATTTCATGGATTTCTGCATCTCTTCACTGAGCACATATTCAGAGAGTCATGATCTGTGAAGAAGTGCAGGTTTAGTTTATTTGTTTTGCAGATTATAGTCTTTAAGATGGAAACAGGAATATGTCCGAGACTACAGGATTAAATTTAGCATACAGATGCTTAACGGTGCTCGTACACTGTCTGTGGTACTGAACACAAGGAAACAGGAAACAATGAGGCGGCTGTAAACCTTTTGGATATTCATGTTTCTCTCTTCAGGTCGGCAATGAGCAAATAAAACTCATATTTGTTTTTGTATAAACTCTGAGTTGTGTTTAATCTTTTCACCCCCTCTATGTAAAGACTAAAGATCGAATGTGTGTAAAGAATACACACTTTGCAACAGTCTCTGATTAAACGACAGACTTCACCCAGTGCATCATGGGATAGATTCTTGCTATCAGTGGGCTTCAGCTAATGGATAACAGCTAACAACAATAATTAATTTTAACATGGATAAGTGGATAAATAATCACTGAGGATATTCACTGTTGGATTTATTGGTTTTATAAAGTCTCTTCAAAACACTTCAGTTCCAGACTGGATTACAAAACTTCTTAAAAGAATACGATCGCAGCAGAAGCCATTTATAGTCAGTTTCTAGACTGCAGCATTATGGACATATCTAAAAATAGTAAAAAGAGTCGTTTAATATTGAACTCTACATCACCGACCTCGGGGGTTAATGGCTGACTGTAACAGTCATTAGTGTTTCCACTGAGTCTTATTAATGTTTCATTTATTTATTTTTGGAGAAACACATGTTTGGGTGCAGCACTTCTACTTCCTGCGGTGATGCTGCCACATACGTCTAGTGGGTCATTAGTGAAGATGAGAGGGATTACTTCTGTATGAGAGTATTTTTAGGAAAATCCTGCAGAATTTATCTTTGACAGAAAACTTCACCCACAAAATGACAAAAAACATCTTAGTATTGGAGTCTGGCTTTGAAGAGAGCAGAGACAAGTTTCACTTTAAGTTCAAGTTTAAATACTAAGTTCAGTTCAGTTTAGGACTAGAAGTTACACTCCCTTGATGAACACACTTGAGACTCTGAGTGGGAGTAATAGTGCCGCCTGAGGGTCTGAGTGGGAACCAAAGGGTCAAAGTTAGATGGACAGAAAGGTAGGAAAGAGCACAGGTAGATAGAAAAGTAAGAAGGAGCACAGGGAAGGCAGAGCTGAGGAGAGACGTCTGTGCAGACTGAACTCTCCCCCTCTGGATCGGGCTGTACACTCTGCCTCCCCCCACTCCCTCATTTTGATGATGGAAGAGAGAAGAAACTAACAGGAGAGAAACTTACCCAACTTTAACTGAGGTGGAGTTTAACTAAAAATGTGTTTGTAAGGTGCTGAGCACACGACTGGATAAATGAGACCTGGATTATACTGCAGGAGTTGTGTGAGAGTTTATAGATAAATGTGCTGATATAGTTTTGCTGTTGTTAAATGTGGCCCCCAATCAATCAATCAATCAATCAATCAATCAATCAATCAATC